ATTCATCAGCAGAATGTTGAACTTCTTCTTTACTTGTTACTTGTTTAGTTGCTATTACCTACAGCAGAATATTTTTTATCTTTATGTCCAATAAAACAGGAATTTTAAGCTTTTTTCTTGCATATTTTCTCAACGGTTTTGTATTTATAGTTGAGTGATAAAAATACTCTCTATGCGATTAATATTATAAGAAATTGAAAATAAAGAAGCATCTATCTAGTAGAATGAAATTTGAAGGTACGTGAAATGATATAAAAGGAAATCTATTTTTATACAAGTACAGAAACAAATTTTTAAAAAGCAAAAAAGATAAATTTTTTAGTAGATATAGACAATATGTAGTTTTCAGAAAAGTGATTACTCTATTAAAAATAGTTGAGATAAGTTACTCACTTTAGTTACTTTTCTCGAGCATATGTTGTGCTCTATTTTAAAATTAAACAACCATTTTTCTGAAGCAGTAAACTCATGGAATAATTCTTGTTTAGCTTTTTCTAAGCCCCAGCGACGTAAGTCGAGATCATGTACAAGAAGATTAGATTCTCGAGCTTGTTCAAATTTATGATAAACATAATTATTAATATTTTCCCATTTTTGCGTTCTCGTTCCTCCCTTTTCAATATAAGCACGAAAACGAGATATATATGATGAATGTATAACACGTTTAAACCGACGCTTCACACCCTTCCAAGACCGACGGTGTTTTCCTGTCAACGGATTTCTTTCATCATAACATTCAATAACCTTTTTCATATAATCTAAAGAAAATTTTTGAAGAAGATCATCACTGTCGTCGTTGTCCGTGTCGTTGAAATTAGGATCTAAGTCAGAGTCTTCTGATACAGCATATTGATCAATTTCATCTTCGGTTAAATCATCGGAAATGTAATCAAGAGAAATTTCACTTTCTACAGTAAACTCATGACAGTTGATAATTGTATTTAATAATTCAGCTAAATGATTGGTAACCTCTTCTTCACGTGCTGATGGAGATTGAAGACTAATTTTTCTCGATCCTGTAGATTGAGAAAACTTCTCTGTGAGAAGAGAACATACAACCGATGCATTTATCATTTTTGTCAGAAACGAATAAAATGAATATCAGATAACCTATACAAGATATTTTGTTCTTCTCTTTCCTATACACGTAGTTATAGTTCAGTTCGTCCAAGTAAATTACTTTGGTTTATTTCTTCCCATTCAATGATATATATAATTCATACATCAAAGATATTCGCTAACACTATATATGTAATTTATCATATAGGTGCCGTTGAAGCCAATAAGATAGGAATGAAAATGAATATACTATTGTGAAAGACCACGATTATCTTACAATTCTAGGAAATACTAGATGTAATGACATATAGAACGATCTTATTACTGTCTAAAGTTAATAATTGCATCTTCTCAAGGTTGTCTGA